TTTTTTTCACGTGTAGTATAGAAATTTGTAATAAGATACATAATGCGGTTATAATAAAATATTGTGCGATTATTTTCATATAATTAAAATTAATATATATTTATATTTTATAAAATACAAGGGAAGCGGTGCTTCCACCGCTTCCAATGACGGCACGCCATTGGTGTTTTCTCAATTTTGTTTCATGAAGAGATGATAAGAATTTGAAATTTTAATTGTACTAACTCAGTTAGTACAATTACTCTTGTATGTTAAATATCTATAATTGATAGAAAAGAAAAAGTATTATTGAAGAGTTGAATAGATGCATAAAAATTAATCATGGATATAATTAGGATTGAATTTTTATAATAGACAATTCCTTATTTCTTAAAAATTTATTAAATGATAAATAATACTTTATAATTTCAAAAATACTTATTATGTGAAACATTTCTTGCAATTAACCTTTACGAAAAGGCTCAAAAATAAGTTATCTTGTGAAATAACTTATTTTTTATTTGTACAATATAAAACATATTTAAATATATATTCTGTCCACAAAATTTTCAAGATAGAAATCTACTGGATAACTAAATCAAAGACCTAAAAGGCTGGTTTCATTTGTTGGTAATCTAAATAACTATATTAAATTTATGCTTTCATTCAGTATATTAAAATTCAGATTAATAATGCAATAATCTGAATTTAATATACTTATAACAGTGACAGTTGTAATGATGAATGCTAGCTCAGATGGAGCTTGTATGCTAGTTCTTTACGTTGACTCCGTCTGTTGACTAGTATTATCATTATTGGGCTGCAATTGGAAAATATTGCAGACCTATAAATTCCCACTGTCATCTATCTTTTCTTAATCTCAAGAATGGAGATAGATAGATAAAATTTGAGACCAGATATGACATCCTTAGAAGCAGGAGGCCCCAATTAACTATATATGAACTTCTGATAAAAACCAGAAGTCATGTTATTTCAATTCAAAACTTTTCCCTGAAATCAGTTAATAGATGCCCAGCACAACTCTTGTTAAAGGAAAAGTATGATGTGCAGGGGCAAGCAACCACTAATTTGAGGTGGAAGGCATACATTTTAAATTAAATAAATTAAAAATATGATTAAAAATTGCAGCCTGACATTGTGATGATGTCACAATAAATAATTGCTCATTNATAATTTGATGTGGAAGGCATACATTTTAAATTAAATAAATTAAAAATATGATTAAAAATTGCAGCCTGACATTGTGATGATGTCACAATAAATAATTGCTCATTTAACTAATGTTTTCTGTTATAACTAGGAAGTTTTGAAGTGTTTAATGAGAAGAGTTTACTCACATTATTAAGAAAAAGGCAATTGTTTACTCTCACATGGTAGTGTCCTCATTTACAATACATCCAAAATTGATATTATTTTTAATTAATCACCTCTTACTCATCTCTTACTCATTTATCATTTATGACTATTTTTCCTTTCCTATACTGAATCTGCAACTGAAAGAGAGAACTTAAAACATTTAAAAAACAACAACTTTCTGCAGGCTATTTCAAAGAAGGATTTTTAGCAGTCTTTGGAAAGTTTTATGGTCATTGAAATAAATTGTATTACTGTAGATTAAATATGTTTCAAATAATTTCTTCAAGAAATTAAATTTCTTATTACATAAATATATTTTTCTAAACTAGTCTATGAACTTTTAGGACATAGTCTGTAAATTTCTTTGAATATGATGCATATTAAATATTACAGTATTAATATTAATTAAAATAGATTATTAATAGTAATTAATATGCATCATTTGTATATGGCTATTTTTTCATCAATTCTAGCTTTCAAAAAATACTAAGAAGATTAATTAAACTATTAACTATAAAATTATTATTTAACACAATCTTCTTTCATCTGACATTAATTTTCAAAATTAAAATCAGATCAAAGATTCAAGAAATTAAATGCTTAATAAATTAATTCTGATAATTGGATTTGGTGTTCAAGAAATAAAAATATTTTTACTTATCAAAAATATAGATACTAATAGAAAAATATTTTATTAAAAATATACAATTTTACAGAAACCAGAATTAGTTAAGGATATTAGCCTTTGGGTACGAGAAGCTGTAAAAATTCCATTTTTTGTAAAGTTAACTCCAAATGTAACAGATATCATAGAAATAGCAAGAGCTGCTTATGAAGGTAATAAAAAATAATCATTATAGCATAGTATTTTCTGTAATTTTACTAACAACAATTTTTTTCACATTCTCTTTTTATAAACTGTTTAAATTTAATTTAAAACTATAAAAATGTGAGTGATAATTTATTTACAACTATTAATAACAGATGTATTATATAATTAGAGAATTTTAATCTTAGGTTAATTATTGTCCCAAGCGTCTTTAACAATTTATAAAATAATAATGATATAAAAACTAAAAATTAGTAAAATATATTTTATCTTATACTTAATATTTAAAAAGATAAAATTATTTTAGGTAAAGCTGATGGAGTAACAGCAACCAATACTTTATCTGGTCTTATGGGTTTAAAAAATGATTCTAGTCCTTGGCCAGCAGTTGGATTAGAAAAGCGAACAACATATGGAGGAATTTCTGGAAATGCAATTCGTCCAGTAGCTTTAAGAGCAGTTTCGGCCATTTCCCAAGTTCTTCCTGGTTTTCCAATACTTGCTACTGGAGGTATTGATTCTGCTGAAACTGGGCTTCAATTTATCTATTGTGGAGCTTCTGTTTTGCAAGTATTAATAAAATATTATCTGATTTACTTAGAAATTAAATATTTATAGAATATGCAAATATTTTTATTTCATTATAGTTTTAGTTATAAAAATTAATTTTGCTAAAAGGAACAATTTGTATGCTTTATTTATACATATATGATAAATTAAAGGTTCAGCTTATTTTTTAATTTAACTTCTTTTACATTAATAGTACAAATATTTACAGTACCTTCAAAATAAACTACTTATAAAGCCAGCATCCATACTACTTATTTAAAATAATTAGCTTTAAAAGCACTAGGAAAAGAGGATAACATGTCATTGTGCAAATATCAATCTAATTATGAAAAATTAAATTTAAAACTAAACCCTAAAAAGTGATTAATTTGGTTTAATTATTAGTTTATTCTTGTGATCTTTAATAATTTAAATTCTTGTAGTTTTATTTTTTATATCAAAAGATATTTTGCAAATATCACACTATTAAATGAATTTGCATAAAAAATAACTAATGAACATTTTCTTTTAAATTTCAAATGTTAAAAGTAACATATCAGAAAAAAGCATTAATAAATTCTAAAATTTATTAATGCTTCTGCAATTTAAGCATTTTAATTGAAAAAAATTTTTATTCTTATAAAATCATTCATAATAAATCAAAAATAGTTCTTTTTTACTAAAAATTGCATTCTTACTATGAATTCTGTTGGTTTTACAATGAGCATCATTTTTTTTTACTAATAAAACACACCTTTAATAATCCAGCTAATAAAAATTAATAATATAATAACGTTTTCGATCGTTTCTTAACGATCTTCTTCAGTTACCATAACAGAATAAAATTGAACACAAAAAAGAACGTAAATACGAAATTAAAATATAATAACGGAAAAGTAGATAAAATAAACGAAAAATATAAATTAATCCGAAAAAATGTCCCTTAACAAATAAAAATAAATAAAGTCATTAATTTTTGTAAAAGGATCGCCATGCGGTAGGTAAAGAGTTTGCATCTCTATGGTTGATGCAACCCGTTTTCTTGTGTGCCTTAAAGATCTCTAATTTCTCCAGATATTTCATTGTATGTAAATTTGTCGTAGGTTTAATAATTTCCGCCCGATCCCAATGGACTTGAATGTCNTTCATCAATTCTAGCTTTCAAAAAATACTAAGATTAATTAAACTATTAACTATAAAATTATTATTTAACACAATCTTCTTTCATCTGACATTAATTTTCAAAATTAAAATCAGATCAAAGATTCAAGAAATTAAATGCTTAATAAATTAATTCTGATAATTGGATTTGGTGTTCAAGAAATAAAAATATTTTTACTTATCAAAAATATAGATACTAATAGAAAAATATTTTATTAAAAATATACAATTTTACAGAAACCAGAATTAGTTAAGGATATTAGCCTTTGGGTACGAGAAGCTGTAAAAATTCCATTTTTTGTAAAGTTAACTCCAAATGTAACAGATATCATAGAAATAGCAAGAGCTGCTTATGAAGGTAATAGAAAATAATCATTATAGCATAGTATTTTCTGTAATTTTACTAACAACAATTTTTTTCACATTCTCTTTTTATAAACTGTTTAAATTTAATTTAAAACTATAAAAATGTGAGTGATAATTTATTTACAACTATTAATAACAGATGTATTATATAATTAGAGAATTTTAATCTCAGGTTAATTATTGTCCCAAGCGTCTTTAACAATTTATAAAATAATAATGATATAAAAACTAAAAATTAGAAAAATATATTTTATCTTATACTTAATATTTAAAAAGATAAAATTATTTTAGGTAAAGCTGATGGAGTAACAGCAACCAATACTTTATCTGGTCTTATGGGTTTAAAAAATGATTCTAGTCCTTGGCCAGCAGTTGGATTAGAAAAGCGAACAACATATGGAGGAATTTCTGGAAATGCAATTCGTCCAGTAGCTTTAAGAGCAGTTTCGGCCATTTCCCAAGTTCTTCCTGGTTTTCCAATACTTGCTACTGGAGGTATTGATTCTGCTGAAACTGGGCTTCAATTTATCTATTGTGGAGCTTCTGTTTTGCAAGTATTAATAAAATATTATCTGATTTACTTAGAAATTAAATATTTATAGAATATGCAAATATTTTTATTTCATTATAGTTTTGGTTATAAAAATTAATTTTGCTAAAAGGAACAATTTGTATGCTTTATTTATACATATATGATAAATTAAAGGTTCAGCTTATTTTTTAATTTAACTTCTTTTACATTAATAGTACAAATATTTACAGTACCTTCAAAATAAACTACTTATAAAGCCAGCATCCATACTACTTATTTAAAATAATTAGCTTTAAAAGCACTAGGAAAAGAGGATAACATGTCATTGTGCAAATATCAATCTAATTATGAAAAATTAAATTTAAAACTAAACCCTAAAAAGTGATTAATTTGGTTTAATTATTAGTTTATTCTTGTGATCTTTAATAATTTAAATTCTTGTAGTTTTATTTTTTATATCAAAAGATATTTTGCAAATATCACACTATTAAATGAATTTGCATAAAAAATAACTAATGAACATTTTCTTTTAAATTTCAAATGTTAAAAGTAACATATCAGAAAAAAGCATTAATAAATTCTAAAATTTATTAATGCTTCTGCAATTTAAGCATTTTAATTGAAAAAAATTTTTATTCTTATAAAATCATTCATAATAAATCAAAAATAGTTCTTTTTTACTAAAAATTGCATTCTTACTATGAATTCTGTTGGTTTTACAATGAGCATCATTTTTTTTTACTAATAAAACACACCTTTAATAATCCAGCTAATAAAAATTAATAATATAATAACGTTTTCGATCGTTTCTTAACGATCTTCTTCAGTTACCATAACAGAATAAAATTGAACACAAAAAAGAACGTAAATACGAAATTAAAATATAATAACGGAAAAGTAGATAAAATAAACGAAAAATATAAATTAATCCGAAAAAATGTCCCTTAACAAATAAAAATAAATAAAGTCATTAATTCTTGTAAAAGGATCGCCATGCGGTAGGTAAAGAGTCCGCATCTCTATGGTTGATGCAACCAGTTTTCTTGTGTGCCTTAAAGATCTCTAATTTCTCCAGATATTTCATTGTATGTAAATTTGTCGTAGGTTTAATAATTTGCGCCCGATCCCAATGGACTTGAATGTCATGTTGCGTTGCGTAAGACGATAGCACGGTGTTGTCAAGTTTCTTATTAATCGTATATTTATGTTCTTTGATACGTTGTTGCAATTTGCGCATTGTTGCGCCTACGTAGACAAGATCCGAATTAAAATGCTGATCATGTAATGGTATAGAATAGATTCCTGATGCCGATTTCCAGTCATAACGCTTCTTATCGTTTCTTAATAGCTTGAAAACTGTAGGATTGCATCGATATACTACACTGAAATCATTAGCCTTGGCCGTTTCTTTATGTATTTGTCTCAAAAACGGGACATAATTTAAAATTATCTTTTGTCAACAGTCTACTGTGGGATGCCGTTGTTTAGTTGTTTGGAAGGTTGTAATAAGATTCTTTATGATTTCCTTTTGGTATCCGTGTTGTTCCGCAATCTTTAGAATGTAGTTTAGCTCCGCCATCGTGTCTTTTATACTAGAACAATGTGTATAAGCTAAAAAGGGATAAAAAGGGCTTTACACATTGTAAAGCCTTTCATTATCTGTTAGAGAAGACTAATCTGGTTAAGTTGTCAAACACCATTTATTATCATACATATTAATGTTATTAAACTTCTGTCTTATTGTTGGAATTAAATGTATGGTACCAAGAAACATAAACTTTTCTGAAGTTATTCATTCATTTGACAAGAACCATAGTACAATAGTAATAAAAAAGAAATAGTTTTAAGGTTACAACAACAGCATTTATTTGGTGAAATTTCAAATATCATGTTACAAAGGCGATTTGCTAACCACTTTAAAGTGTTGGAAGATATTCGGTTTTCTCTCGCATTTATGATGTCATTTTATGATCTTAACAGCTTTATGGTGGCTAAAGTAATTTTTAATAAATCATTTATTGAAAAAAGCAAAAATGTTAAAAAATTATACTTACTTGATAACTATAAAGCAGACAAATCCCTATATCAATTTTTATTTAGTCATTTAGATCATAAACAACATTATAATTGCAAGAATGTCAAATACATTTTTTACAAAGTGATTTGCTAGCTACTTTAAGGGATAACTTGACATTTGTCAAGTTATCCCTTCTGTTCATAATAACAGTTTAATTTTTCTTTTTCATTTCTTCCACTCAGGCCATTTTTGATGAATTAACAATTAATCAATGTTTACATTTTGTCATAATTTTTGTGTTCCATTTAATTAAAATATCCTATACAATCTATTTGCTATTTAGAATTCAATTAAAATGTGATTTTTGCAAGATAAAAGATAAATAATATACTGTATATATATTTTAATTAGATATGCTATGTATACTTTTTGGTATTTTTACATTCCTATTGCAAATTTGATGTTTTAGTAATCCATTGTATTCTTCATTTTATAATAACCAGGTTAAAATACAGTATGGTCACCTTTAAATAGTGGACAAACTTCTCTGTCCAAACAGTGTCCACTATTCAGAGGTTATACTGTATTATATATGGTAAATGAAAAAAATTATATTATTTTAATATTTGAAAACAAACCAAGAATTTATTTAACAATAGGTATGCAGTGCAATACAAAATCAAGATTTTACAGTTATAGATGATTACATAACTGGTCTTAAGGCTTTATTGTATCTTCAAAACATACCAGAAATGTCAGACTGGGATGGACAATCGCCTCCTACTCCCCAACATCAAAAAGGAAAACCTGTTCCAAAATTATCAAATTTAATTGGAAAGGTAAAAATAATATTTTAATAAATAATAAATTTTGAATTTAGCAAGACCAACTGCTAATAAGTTAAAAACTCCTATTATTTTTATTCTCATAAAACATTTTTTGAGACAAATTGTTTCAGCATCAGATCAAAAATTGTTCTGATTTGAACATATTGTACCAGCATTCTAAAGCCTTTAGTTAAAATTTAATCTTGGAAAAATAGGATTGAACAAGTAAGATTGAATTTTAACTAAAGGCTTTAGAATGCTGGTACATTATGTTCAAATCAGAACAATTTTTGATCTGATGCTGAGACAGTTTGTCTCAAAAAAATGTTTTATCAAAATAAAAATAGAACTTCTTAAGTTATTAGCAGTTTGGATTTATAGAAGATGAAATTATTTATTTACTCATATTTTAAAATGTTTTTACATATAGAATCTTCCAAATTTTGGACCCTATCTCAAAAAGAAAGAGAATTTAATTATTAGACAAAAGGAAAACATTCATTTACTAACAAATGAAATTGTTTCTGAACCAAAGATTTCAAAAATTAACAACAGACAAGTGCCAAAAATTAAGGTTTGTGTTTATTTATATATACATATATACTGTAAATAAAACAATTTTATGATAAACATTGACTTTTGTTTTTTTTTTTTTTTTTTTTGTTTAAAAAAAAAAAAAAAATTGTTTTTTTTTTTTTTTTTTTTTTTTGTTTAAAATAGGATATAATAGCTAAAGCTATCACTAAAATTGGAGCCTTTAAAGATTTGGATTTAGAAAAACAAGTTGTGGCTGTAATAGATGAGGTAAATCTAAAAATTTATTACAGTGTGATCCCAATTTATGATTAGTTGATATACAAGAATTCAGTACAGTGACCAGTTTTTTTCTGACCATCTTTCCCATTTACAAGACAAAATATTTGATATTATGAAGGCAATGAGATTGCAATTGAAATTGAACATGATCAATTTGATGGCTTGTAGGTTCCAGTCTCTGGTCATTGAGGAAAACACCATTCATTCTAATATGGTTGAGCAGTTTAGTAAACTTTAGTTTTAACTTACAAACCCTTATATTTGTGATAACTTTATTTAACTTTATTTTACCATGCAAGAAATTGAGAGCTTCTTCAGTTGTATAGGGCCATGCACTTGTTTTGTTGAAATCATTGCCTCACACTGAAATTTGTTTCCTTTTTAGCATAGGAATGAATTCAGTCATTCATTAAATGTCAAATAATCATCAAAAAAGGAGGACTCAATAATCCCGTGCTTAGAGAATACACACCAAACCAAAACTTTCTCATGGTATGATTCTATCTCAAAGATTTCAAGAGGATTTTCTGTTGCCCAAAATCAAACATTTTGCTTGTTGATATCAATCACTGCTTAAATGTAGAACAAATTGATTATCTAAGATCTCTGGTCATTCCTCAATGAGGTCAGAAAAGCCATTACTGAATGTCACTTATTTCAACTTTGTGGCCAGCATTAATTTTTATATTTTGTGCAGAAACATGTTTAAATCTTTTTTCATTATTCTCCAACACAAACAGTATGAAATTCCTAACTCCATTGACAATTGGTGAATTAACTTTTTTTCCAGCGGCTTCTGACTACAGCATTCTAAATGGCATTTATCATCTCAGAACACACTATAATTTGCTTTAATAAATCAATCTTGGACTAGGACACTCATAAATTGGGGTTATACTGTATTCTATTGTAGAATAATATGTAATTTTTATGATACCAATGTTTTGTTTTTAGGAGATGTGCATTAATTGTGGAAAATGCTATATGACTTGTAATGACTCAGGTTATCAAGCAATCATCTTTGATCCAGAAACACATCTTCCTAAAGTGACAGATGCTTGCACAGGATGTACTCTTTGTCTCTCTGTCTGTCCTATTATTGATTGCATCAAAATGGTTGCAAAAACAATACCACATAATCCAAACAGAGGAATTCCACCTAAAATGAATCAATTTAAAATTAATGCTATGCCTATGCAGTAAATTTAATGTTATATGATGTGAAATTATAAATTTATTGAATTGACCATGAATTATCATAATAAAACTTTTGATTTCATCTAACTTTTATAACAATAATTACATTAAATGAAACTAATAAAAAAATTTACCTATTTGAATGATATTGCAGATAATCATAATACTTAGCATCAATTTTATTATATAAGTACAGTAGGTGATCAGTTAATGAACAGATCGGATAACAAACACTTTTGTGAAAGATTATGTTCGGACGATGAACACACGATCGGATAATGAACACCCCACAGAACAAACACAAGAAGAAGCAACGTAAAATAATTAATACCACTTGGTCTTCCTTTGTCTTCGGGCAACAATTTGAAACTTTTCGGAGTATGGGAGACGTCGACATAGACACTCAAGCCAGCATATACCGATCAGATATTATTCCTCCGAACTTTGAAACTCTCAGTTGTAATTCCAGCCTTTTATTTTTCTGACAAAACAATTCTTTTATGCATTCGCGAGACTGTCGGGTAGGCACTCATTAAGTTTTGCATCTGTTTTTCTTTTCAAAAGGTGAGAGTATAATAGCAAAGGTAGAGAGTGAGCAGAAACTGCCTAATGTTGCTGGGCACTATGGTGTGAACAGGTCTACAGTAGGCTGCAGTTCAATCTTATTTAAGAAAAAATACTGTATAATCAAGAAGACTCAAGCAGCTAAAAGAGTAACAAAAATCACATCTGAGAAATAAAGAACATCGAAGAGTTCATAATGGAACCTGAAACAGATCTGACAACAGAAGAACACCAAGAACTCTTGAATGAAGAACACCAAGAAACTTGGCGAGATATGTTTTCTTCTGAAAGAGAGGATTAATGCTGATATCTATTATTAAAGATTCTTTGAAGAAGTGGGAGGATGTCAGAACAACTGTCTTAGAATGGCATCCAAACCAGGTTGAGCCTTGGGGGATTTCTACAATTGCAATCCTATTAATTACGAAAAATCCTGAAGAAGAGAGAAAAGCAATCAACATTAGACAGATTCTTTAACCCTTTCAAACAGAAAAAACATGACTAATAAAAACGAAAGACTATGTATGTATGTATTTTTACTATTACATATAAATAACATAGTAAGAAAGTATATATTTTTTTATTTTTGGGGGTCTCTAGAACGAATTAATTAAATTCCCATTAAAACCTATGGTAAATCGATAATCGGATAATGAACAATTCAGATAGCGAACAAAGTGTTGGAACGGATTATGTTCGTTAATTAATCACCCAATGTATATTATATTTAGTTTTTTAAAAAGTTTTCTGTACTGAATGATGAGAAAAAATGCTAAATTCAGGACTAAAATGACCTTTTAAAGAAAAAAAAATGCTTCTGAATAAAAATTTATTATCAGCTAGAAAATTACAATGCTCTTTAGAATGAATACATTTATGTTTGAATATTTTTAAATTTAAAAATTACCAGAAAATTATAATTATACAAAAATTTTAAAATAAAGTAAAATAAAAATTAATTAAAACAGGAAGTAAACAAAAAAGTATTAAATATAACCTTATACACAGACTCACCACCACACTTTATGACCTTTAACAAACATATCTTACTGCTGCCTTTTGATGCTGCTTCTAGAAAAAGCTAGAAAGGTAACTTTTTTATTCAAAGAACTATCTTGAGAATCTAGAATAGCAGTCCATCTACTGTAATATCTAAAACAAAAAGGAATCATGGGCATTAATTACTCTAATTTTGTGTGCAAAAGGTTATACCATACTGTATGTAGCACTGTTCTGTTAGTTAGATTGTAAGCTTATCTGCCCAGTTTTTAATAGTTATATGGCTTTTCCATAAAACCTGNTATGTACAAAATAAACCATTTTGAACACTTCTTTTTATTATTTATCAAAAAAATATAGTTCTGGCATAAACAATGTTAAATTTTAACTGACTTAATTTACGAACGCATCTTTTTTATTTATATGGGTATCTTAAGGTCAGTTTTTGCGCTAATGTTGCTAATGCACCATTTGAGCGAAAAAAAATTGTTAAGAAAAAATTTTGTTAGTGAACCCTTTGTTAAATATTTCGAATATCACCACTGGTTAGATTGTAAGCTTATCTGCCCAGTTTTTAATAGTTATATGGCTTTTCCATAAAACCTGTACTTCCTTATCTAGTGCTCATTGTGTCATGTGCTTATTATTCTGTAGAGAGTCATAATGTTCCCTAAAACTCTGCCATAGCATTCTGTATGTCTATCCTATGTAGCAAAAATCCTCTTCTCCTTTATTAAGCTTGATCACATATATGCTTGCCCATATCCATTTGTTTTACTTTTTTTTTGTCAGTATGTTATAAGTGCATGATAGAGAGGAGATGAATAACAGTTAAAACTTAAAGCAGTGTTTCTCAATCTTTTTGTCATTGTGGACCAATAAAATTATGGATAAGTGTCCAGTTTGTTACGATTATATGTCTCCACCTACCTTTCAATGTCCAGCCGGGCACACGGTATGCTCTCGCTGTAAAGCGCGAGTAAGACAATGCCCTGTCTGTCGTGGAGAGTTAAGAAACTACCGCAATTTAACATTAGAAAAACTTTTGGAAATTATAGCCCTGCCCTGCCTTGCCCTGCGCCTACAAAGATAATGGATGTCCGGAAATTCGTCTCTCAAAGGACAGAAAAACCCATGAACAGTTTTGCCCCTTCAGAACGTGTTCTTGTCCCTCTCTGGACGACACCTGCAAATGGGAAGGCGTCTATCAACAGATGGTCCCTCATCTGACAGAAAAACACCCAGGAATAAAACATTTAAACCACAACGCTGTTAAGATGGCCCTCATAGGGTTGGAAGAAACCCAACCTCTTACTTGGGTGGCCCGCCTTCATTGTTTCCAACGAGATTTTCTGATTCAAATAATTAAAACGGAAAAAGAAGACGAAAACTCTCCTCTCCATATTATAGTTCGAAATGTAGGAAGTCGCCGGGAATCAGGACTATTTAGAGGAAAAATCGAAGTCCGAGGGCGAGGGAAACTTATGCTATGGGAATCTATAACCCGGAGTGTAACCGGAGACCTGAAATTTTTAATCCGAATGAGAGACTGTATGACACTGAGCATACAAATGTTAGAGCGAATGCTCGAGGACAAAGTTCTGACCATCATCGTGACGATCTTGCCCTCGTGCACTCGACAAACAGTAGAGACGTCTGAACCAGACACAGAAGGGAGAACACAGATCGAAGAAGAAAGAGAGGAGAATCCACTCGCGGAAATTTCTCAGTAAACCTAAAGGCAGCGCGAGACGAGAATGTATCTTTTTGGAAAAAAATAAATAAAACGCAAATGTTTTAAGGAACTAGGACGCACTGCTGGACACTAAACCTGTTTCCTTTTGTGTTAACAGAAAAGGCCATGGCAGAGTCATCGGGATGGTGGGACTCTGAGGAAACAGATTTTGACCGCGCTCTCTCTCTCTTCCAACGGTCAGGGGAGGAAAGACGAATGGTGAGCCCTACACCTGTTCGACACGCCATTCAGCGAATTTTAAATTCTCCTGACGCAAGGTATCCAGAACTGCTCATCCTGCCCCAGGAAATGGACGTTCCGTCAGACCTGCAGCGAGAGGTCGAGGAGGCAGTGACCTTTGCAGCTGAGAGAGCTCAGAGCCTGCAGGAAACGACACCCTCGTCTCTACCCGGACCGGATAATAGGGACCGCGAAGGATTTCGATCTTCGAGTTCGGTAACCCGTAGAGCTTTTTCACCTCAAGTCCGTCAAGGAAGGGGGCGAGGTCGAGAAGTATGGGAAAGGGCGCAAAGGATTTCGCAGGAGCAGGAACAACGGTATCGTGCAGCGGGAAGAGCGAGAAGCCGACACCCGCCACGCCATTAGACAAAACAGGGAACCCGTTTGTCAGAAGGACACTTCAAGAAAAAAAAATTGAGAAAAATGCGTCAAACTGGGACAAAATATATATTATAGCCTATATGTTTTATACCTTAAATTCCATTTTGTAATCCATTTTTCATTTTATTTTTTATCTTATGTTATATCTGCTATTAAACTTTTTTGACTTATACAAATTTGTTTTATTTGACAACCAATTCGTATACTTAATCGACGCAAAAAAAAGCTTAGGAAACGTGCGAAAAACGCGTGCGAAAAAAATAACATTTTCGAATGGTCATAAAAATTAAATTGTAGCAAAGAAAAAAAAAAAAAGAAAACAATTGAAGTTTTCTTCGATCAAATGATCTGTTGAAAAAGAAAACATTTCGATGTAACGCGAGATCAAACACACGTGAAAGAATAACAAAATTGTAAACCATTGTTAATAATATGTCACTTCTGTAAAGACAGAAGCATGGACTGACAGCTTCTAGAGCTGACAGGTAAAACGTCGCTAATCTCGGAGCCACATTTTAAAATGGCGGGGAGCCCTGTGAAGCCCCAAAAATGAGTTGAAATTAAATAATTATTATTAGAAATTTATTAAAACGAAACTAGAAGAAAAAATTGTCTATTGTTAAAAACCGATCAAAGATCGAATTAGTTATGTTAGTCATATGAAACCGCGACGAGAGAAAAAACTTTATTGATGTAAACCGAATGTAATATTTTTAAATGATTAATTAATAATTGTAAGCAAACGATCTCCAGTAGAGATGGACCTTTGAAAAGTCGTTCATATGCACATAATTAGAACATAGAAATTTGGAAAAGAGGAAAGATTAATGACGAAAAAGGACATCGCGTCGTGTCGTTAAATTTCAAAAAACGTCACAGACTAGACAACAATGGTGGAAAATATGAGCGCAAGTTTCAAAGTTCCATCAACATTTTGCAGCCAGAATAACGGATGGTGTCAAGTAGATTCTTCAAGGCGGATCTTTCTCGTGACTCGAAAAGGAATCGTTTTTCGCTTAGAAACAGACGAGGGAGCCAATCAGAAAACAAATTGGAGAACGGAGATTGATATAATCCCCGATCTTCAAGGACAGAGGGACTTCTTCCGTAAACTGTGCTACTGAGTACTTACACTCCAAAAAGTCCGGAGCGAAAACTCTCTGTGTGTGTCGACGCACAGAAACGCAGAGTCCGCACAAGTGTCCATCGAAAGAGCCGTGCCGCCGACACCTCCTGACAAGTCTCCTTACCTGCCGCAGCCCCGGGGCCCATCTCCAAGTGACGAGAGACAAACATCCACAACGTCCAAACAGTCGACTGTATCTAGATAATTCTAGTTTCTAGGTGTAAGTTTAATTTTATGTATAAAATAAACGGGTTTTTGTGAGATTCTTGTCATCTGTGTCTCCTCCACCACACCCACACGCGTTCGACCCTAGATCATTCTGACGCGGGATTAACGATTCCCCCCCGGAAGTCGGCGAACTTACAATAATATTCGGCTTTGGTAGATGGATAGCTTACAATACTTTCCTACATGTTAATTACATAGCAGTTATAATACATAATATTAGCCAAATGACATAATTAGAATATTTGACTATCATTGTGATAGTCCAATTTGGCTATGACAGAGAGAAAAATATTTAATCCTTGAATTTTAAGATACAATCTATAAATATAGCTACCAATTTGGCTATTATCAGGACTTAACATACCACAATTAAAAAGGTGACTAGATTAGAACTTTTTATTCTTTAACTCAATATACATTTTCAAATCTGGTCTGGTCAAAGAAGGAAAATGAAGACATTTCTTTCTTTCATTTAAAATACATGGTATGTCTCTTACTATTTTCTGAAATAGTATTTAGCAAAATAGCCACAATTGTAGCCATCACGAAAAGTTCCCTCTCAACGCAAAAGTTTCTTTTTTCTACAAAACATGACATCAGATCATTCAACAGAGAGACTCAATGGAGAACACTGATGATATAAGTGTTGAATTTAGAAACATATGAAATGTCTTCTTTCCTCTTCTTTCTTGGCTACAAATTCCCATCAATATCAGACATCTGATAAATGACGTTGATATTACTGCAATCTAGAATACCTTTCAATGTAGTTGGCCATCCTGTAAATCAACCTTTCTCACAAAAACAGACGTTCCCAACAATTACTGTTTTTGTGAATAAATCTTGACATTACCTGCTGACATTGTGGTGTTTGTAAAACCTCAAATCTTTCATGTAGAAAATTTCTGTTAGCATTTGCTGCTATTGCATAATATTTTATGGGTAAATCACCCGTCATTAGGGCTGCCAGATGCAATAAAAACTCATTTTCGTTCAATTTTGACATATATTGTTTTTGCAAAAAAAGGCCTCCAATCCAATACATTCTCTTTTCATCCTTAAATTTTTCTCAACTTGATTGAAGGACTGCCCAAGTATAAACAGTCCTAATTATTTCAATAATTTTATCACTTATCTAGGACAAAATAGCAAATAAGAAAACTGTTCTGACACATGCACTTGCTAGACTTTCTACGATTCAAATGTCACCCACATCATTATGCAATCACTTTCATTACTATACAACATTCACTTAAAAGTGTTCACTTTGATATTTTGTAGACCTGTATAATACTAACCTTTGTTAAAACATTTTTAACTAAAGACTTACAATTAAGTTTTGTTGAACTATTAAAATTTAAGGATTTTATAGTTAAGTTAAAGTATATATTAAGTAAAATACAAACCAATCAAAAAGAGCAATTAAGAATTAAACTTACAAACATTATAGGTTAGATAAAACTAAAAATAGAAATAATATTAATTATATCAAATTTAAAAAATATACTAACATAAGTTAAGAAATTTTACAAATATTGAATTATAATGTAAATAAAACCAGATTACCTGCAGATGAAACAAAACTAATAGTAACAATGAATGAAGAAAAATATATAAATGCAAAACTTGATTTGATCTCATCACATCAATATAGTGAATTAAATGAACTCCCTACTGGAAACATATATGAAAATTTAGAAAAAATACTTAAAAGTTGAAAAAAAACTCAAGAAAATTAACATAAATGATTTTAATATTTTAGACTATAATTTAAGAATATGCAGACTCAATATCAGAGTAAAGACATAAAATAAACAGAGCATATAAACCATTAGTTGACACAAAAGTCTATGTATTATGGTACAGTATATAATTTAGAAAAATTTATGAAGACCAAACTAAATCAATATAACAACTCAGAAAATAACATAAAGAATACGTATCAGTTCATTAAAAACCTTAAAAAGCTCAATATAAATGAAAATAGCAGGATGTTGAGTCTGGATATTAAAAATATGTACCCACCTATACATAAAGAAATTAATAGTAGGCACGTTAAATAACTTGGAATGTAACAAATAGATGATTCAACTGGTTCAGTTCATTTTAGATAATTATTATTTTACTTGTAACAAAGTTTTTTTTTAGACAGTAGAAGGTATCTTCATGGACTTATGCATTGGACCGAACTTGCAGAATTATGCGTGATAAAAATTGGCCAAATAATTAAAAACCTCTGCAGTATAATTTTTTACAATAGAAATGTGAATGACAGTTTTATTATTTACAATAAAGGTTTAACCAACCCCTAAATTATACTCCACTACACCAATATCCACAATAATATAATTTTTGAATTAGAAAAAGAAAATAATGGCATGTTAAATTTTTTAGACATCACTGTCCAGACATCTTATGAGTTGTCTTTTAAAAAATACAATGGGCAAAAACAGTATTTGCACACTGGCATTATTTTGCATAAATAAACTTACAAAGCAGCTATAACAAAATAAATTTAACCATTGAATTAGTTTTACAATTAATAGTGAGGTTCAGGCCAAAGTCTTAAACACGAAAACGTGTAAGTCAGACGTTCAGCGCCACTTTCCCATAAAATTAGTTTTACAATTCCCATAAGCCTAGAAGTTTGACAATGGTGTTTGGAATGTCAAGCATGATTCCCCTGACTGTCCAAACACCATTGTCAAACTTCTAGGCTTACAGGAAAGCGGCACTGAACGTCCGATGTACACGTTTTCACATTTAAAACTTTGACCTCAACCTCGCTAATATCTGCAAACATTTTATTTTTTACCTTATCCAAGGAAATATGTCTGTAAAATAGCATTTTTTGCATGTAAAAAAAGTGTACACATCACTGGTCTGTTTTATAACAGTTAAATATTACAAAATGCAAATTTTCAGCACATAATAGGTCTGCATTATTTAAAAGGCATGTTATACAACTATCAGAGCAGGATGATTATATATATGATTAGGCAAATATCAAAAGATCCCTTTGTAAGTGCTCAACAGCTGGCAATTAATGTTGCTTCAACTTAGGGATCATAGTAAGTTCACAAACCATTTGTGATATAATATCTTCATGCAGTCCTTATTCAAGCCAATGCACCCAAACAAAACCCTTTTATCAGCAAAGCAAACAGGCTGAAAAGGCTTAAGTTTGCCAAAACATGTATCAACAAAACAGCTGTTCTATTTTCCAACAAAAGCAAGTTTAATATTTTTGGTTCATAATATGAATGCTATACAGTACATTGATATATTGTGAGGTAACTTATTGCACAGTGTATCATAATTGGGAATTGAAGAGTTATACCATTCCAGCAGGAGAATGATCCTAAACATATGGCTAATGTAATGAGGTTGTGATTATAACATAAAACATACTCAAAACTCTCCCCAATCACCTGATTTAAACCCCATGGAGAATTTGTGGCAATTATTAGACTTGCAAGTGAAGAAGAGGAAAATTTCCAACAAGATGGAACTGAAGTAAGCACTTAGCAAAAATATTAGTGCAATGAATTGCTAGGTCGATTGTCATGTCTCGTTCATTGATTACATCTTGTAATCAACAAATGAGGCACACATACTAAGTACTAGTATAGCCTAAAAATCTTTCTTTGAAGGATTATTTGTTTTTACCTTTACTAGTGTGCAGATAACAGTTTTTAACATCAAAAAAGTATTTATTAGCATTATTGTTATTATTTTGTAATGCCTATCATGGTAGCTATTAAAACTTTTGTCAATATATTGATATTCTTCACATATAATGTATTTTGCATTCATTTATATTAGATTTGACCTTTTTTGCTCACTGTATATTAAACCATGTGATGTAGGTAAAGTTATTAATTATTATTCCAGTATACCTATGTATAGTACATTAAAAAGAACATTTTCAATATGTATATTACAAAAATTAAAACATGCACAAACAGTATTATATATTAAAATAAGAAACTGAATACATATATTGTATTTTCCAATTAAATAATTACCCAAACAAGATAATCAAAAAATGGCTTAACAGTAATATAGAACAACAGTATGACCAACTTTGCCAATAATACAAGTAATCTATAAAAAGCTTGATTATATTCCTATAGTATTTGAAAAGATACAAAAATTATTAAAAACATACAATATTGTTCTTGCCCCATTTAATAATATGAAAAACATGTTAAATTAAACAGAATTAAACAAAATTAAACAGAATGAATCAATTAATAAGAAAACAGATATAATGCAATAACAATGTAGTATACAAAATTTCATGTAATTTCAACCAAAATATTAATATGTAAGTGAAACAGGAAGAATATTAAAAACCAAGATTATAGAACATCTTCATGCATTCAAGTACAATTATGCCAATTTCAGTCACCATACATTGTAATCAAAAGGGTTACAAGGTCTCACTGAATAATGATAAAATTCTTGAAAAAATATATTAAAAGAAATCATTAAAATTAAACAGAATGAATTTAAACATAGGAATAGCCATTATTACATAATTAGACAAGCCTATTGTAGATCCATTCCACCCCATTTTTTCATACACGGTACCTTGTACTATGTCTGTAAATATAAATTTGGTTGAGGAATATACAGTGCAGCAAAGTTTTTAGAGATTAATGTCCTTTTATTATGAAAACTTTCCTTTTTTCAATCAACATTTTACAGTATTTATATTTATTTTTACACAGGTATTCACAACTTTTAGTTTTTTTTAAATTTGATTATAACCTTATGTTAATTTTTTTAATCAATCTTTATAAAAACTTTTTCAGTTTTATACAGGTACAGTACATAACCCACCTTTTCATGCTTTTTTAATTTAATAGGAAATATTTTATCATAGCCTTATGTTAACTTAATTTTATTTATCAGCTTATGAATACAATGTTGATTCATCCAGTGGTCACTAACATAATTTTAATAAACAGTCAAAGATCTGTAATAAAGGACTTAAGAGGGGTAGAAGGCCCAAAATGCATTTTGGGCCTTCTACCCCCTTGTATAATGAAGTTTAAATAGTCAAATACTGGTGTGTTCCTTGTATGACTTGTTGGTAAAATTTGTGCTATGACTAAAAGATCTGTCAGAAGAACGAGTAACAATTAAACAACTAAAATCTTTTTTCTATTTACAATTTTAATAATAATAATTTCAAGTTGGACACAACTCAATCTGCAAATAAATTACACACTACCACAAAGTTGTGAGAGATGAACTGGAAATAATATGGCATAAGGTTACAATAAAAAAAAAATACATTGGAAGATAATTGTGTGGCCATCAAATCATAATACACACTTTAAATTTCTCAACAAATTTTATGTAAAGAGAATTTAGTGAATTTTCTTTGGGCAATTTTTTGGATCAATTCCCATATTTAAAAATTTAAAACTTTTGTCATATAAGAACACAATTTTACATCTTACATGTAAAATGTCATATTTTAATTAATGGTAAAGTCTTAAATAACTATAGAATATCATCTATGGTTAATTAACAAACTTTTCTGAAGCTGCTATTTTCAATTTATAAAATAAATTAAAATTTAGCTTTAGAAAATATTTTATTTGTAACTTTCAAATTATTTGTCGTTCTCAAAACTCTTTTATTGGTACTTAGTGTGGTTGATATTTCACCTAATTCTTATTAAATATTACTATATTTTATGAAATTTTTCTATCCATAATTTATTGAGTTTATAGATTATAAAAAGTAAATACATTAGTTTTTATCCTACATAAATTTTTTTGTTATTAAAATTTGATTTTAGTGATGCTTATTAAATACTGTAATTGAAACATCATTTTCTGATAATATAATTTCCTATTTAGTTTTAAAATATAGTAAGTTTGTTATGGTCTTTTCTTGACTTTTGTTCCTTATACAAGTTTCTTTCTTCTTCCTTGAGATTCAATATTGTATTTTTTTGGGCTTCAATACGTCTTTCTAACTGCTGTTGCATAACTCTATCTTTTCTTTCTTTATTTCTATTAAATGCTTGTTGGAGATGAATGAGTTCTTTTTCTGCTCTTTTGATATCTTCATTTATTTTGAGTGATTGCACATTTAAATTCTTATCACTAGATTTCATTATCTCTTGACCTTTATTCAATGTTTTCACATCATTTTTTGGTACTCCAATTTTTTTGTTTAAGAAATCAAAAACAGATCCTTTAGGAACTGTTTCTTTATATCTTTTAATTATAGCTTTTTCCCTTTTCTTTTGAATTTTTTGCATTCTTTTTATTATAGAAAAACAGTCTTTACTTTTAGATGTTTCTCTTAATTCCATACACTTATCTAATGACTTTCCCTTGGGCAACACTTCTGCCTCAATGGGTTCCGTACGACCCTCTCCATTTTTGCCAAGACCCCGACCCCAAACATAGCCCATCCGTGCCATCATTCTAGAACCGAATCCATTTGTATGCTTTTCCCATTCGCCAAACTGTCTAGCCGTCGGATCTGAAGGTCTCCAGTTGACAAAATCTTCCGGCTGATTTCCACTCTCTAAAGATTTACAAAAATCATCATCACTGTCTTGAAATTCACTGTCTTCGATCAAAGTATCAAAACAAGGAAGAATATCTTCTACGTTAACTGTCTGAGTATCATTATATTGTAAATATTTCACGAGATATTTATGATCTTCTAAACAACTTTCTATCCTTGCTTTACACCACAAGTCATTTGAATATTTAGCAAGACAAAGAGAATCCCTTTCTAAAGTAGTAAAATCGGGATCAACAAACTCTTGTAATTCCGACAATTTTACGACGTGACCATGCGAGTACCGACACTTATCATCCGAAAACTTGCATCTTCCATCCAGGAAATACGAACAAGGTTTCATAGCATCACAAATAGGATTGCAGAATAAAACTTTAACCACTAGTTCTTCAGGTAATTCCAAATTTTCTGCTTCGACAGATAAAATAATTGCATTATGATAGTCTTTTTCACCCCACGTTTGACTGAACGGAGCTCTACATTTTCCACCCTCCAGTTTTGAGATTGTTTCTGTCAATTCTTCGTCCAGCTTTTCATCCTCGTTTATTTGAGCTTCGTCCGGTCCTTCAGTATCACCACACAATTCTGCCATTTCGGATTGAAACTTCATATATTCAATATCGATTTGACAAGGATTTTCACTATTTACATCTTGTTTTTCGGAACAATTTTCTTCGTTTAATCCTAAACTTTCTTTACTGAGACGTATCACTTCGATCAAATTTGATTTAAGCGTTAATAAATCATCTCTCTGTTCGTCGTCTTGACAAGAACTTAAAGCACTCTCCACTAATTGAAGCTGCTGTTGATAAACTTCTATAGATGCTAAATCATTCGCATTCGTATCCATTTTCAAGGATTTACAAATAAACGACAACCATGAAAAGTCTAATCACCACTCATTGTCACTAGGGGCACTGAAATCGTTTTATTGTAACGTTGCCAATTCCGTCGATGACGAAATAAAATCGTTCACATTTTGGCAATCAGTATATACAGTATTTTAAATCAAAAAAGAGTAAAAATTATAAGACAATTGAATGAATAAAAAATTAGAAAGTAAACTCGATATATAGATTGTTCTTACATTT